GTTGCCAGGTCTGGTTTGGAAAATACCTGGAGACTTTGGGGGTGGATCCGGGAGAGGGCGGGGTTTGGGGAGGGGAGGGGCCCCAGCATGGTAGGATGTCACAGAGTCCACCCTTCAAAGCAGCCATTTTCTCCAAGGGAGCTGATCTCTGGAGATCAGTTGTAAAAGTGGGAGATCCCCAGGTCGCACTCGGAGGCTGGCAACCATATTTGTGGGAGAACTCAAGCACTGCAGGGCCGTCCAGTTTTTCCTTTTGTTAATCATGACACGCACACCAGTGTTCCCTCTAAGCTGAGTTAGTGTGAGCTAGCTCACCGTTTTTAAGCCTCTGGCTCACACATTTTTGTCTTAGCTCAGGAAGGAGGGCTCCAGAGCAAACTAATTTATGCAGTAGCCAAATCGCTCGCTCACAACTTTAATGCCAGTTGCTCACAAAGTAGAATTTTTGCTCACAACACTCCACAGCTTAGAGGGAGCATTGACGCACACACCCCGCGCAACTGAATCCTCCTTGACATTATGCCACCCATCTGCTTAATCCTAATTGGTTTGCGGTCTGTTATTCTTTCAGATTATAGCTGCCAATGAAACCGTTCTGTGACCTGCCCTCCCCTTTCCCCCACCCTGAGCATCTGGCCCCAAAGCATCCATGAATCAATCCTGCTTGTAATCACGTATTACTCTTTTTATATGTTAGCAGCCCGTTTGCATTTAATAAAATCAGGGCACAGGCAGTCCCTGCGCTGTGGGGATTAGTTTTGCTAACAGGGTGGCCTGATAATGCCGCTGTTGTGTGGGTTTAAACTCTTATCAACCGGCTGTGGGTTTTCCAGTCTGCCCAGGATGTCTGAAGCAGGGTTATCAACCTCAAGGGCGGGACCTGGAGTCCTCCCAGAATTATACCTGATTTCCAGACCACAACGATCAGTTCTCCGGCAGGAAATGGCAGCTTCAGAGGGTGGACTCTATGGTATAGCACCGAGTCTGGGATAAATGGGAGTCCTAGAGTGACGACGTGATATCCTGCTAAGATCCCTCTCCAAACTCTACCCTCCCCAGATGCCACCCCCAAGTCTCCAGGAGTTTCCCAAGCTGGAGGATGAAAAGCTCTGTCCCTGAGTCCTAAGAACATAGGAGAAGGCATGTTGGATCAGGCCAGTGGCCCATCCAGTCCAACACTCTGTGTCACACAGTGGCCAAAAACACCAGGTGCCATCAGGAGGTTCACCAACAAAACTGAAGGGTTACAGCTAGTGTAGAAAACCAAAAATATAGAAGCTGTAATGATGTACAAAAGGCTGCTAGTACACTTTGTGTGCCTGTTGATGGAAGGATTTGTTATGTAAGAACATGTTCAACCTGTAGGATATTAGTACCTTTGTATTGGATTTACGAAGACAGGAGGGCCTGGCGGGAGCTGGTCCATGGGGTTGCGAAGAGTCGGACTCGACTGTGCGACTGAACAACAACAATTGGATTTACACATTATGGAATGAGAAGCAACACTATCACATCTTGATGTTTGGAAGACGTTCTTCACGAAACGAATGCCAAAACTCCGGAGAAGTTCGTCCATCTTTCTGATACCTGTCGGGAATTAATATTTTTCAATTTGACTGTTTATGTTTGTATCATTATTGTGAGATTATAAGCGTTTTGTACATCATTACAGCTTCTATATTTTTGGTTATCAGGAGGTTCACCAGCAGGGCCAGAACTCCAGAACCCCTCCAACTGTTGCCCACCCCCCCAAAAGCACCAAGAATACAGAGCATCACTGTCCCAGACACAGTGTTCCATCTATAAGAACATAAGAGAAGCCATGTTGGATCAGGCCAGTGGCCCATCTGGTCTAATACTCTGTGTCACACAGTGGCCAAAACCCAGGTGCCATCTGGAGGTCCACCAGCAGGGCCAGAACTCCAGAAGCCCTCCCACTTTGGCCCCCCAAACACCAAGAATGCAGGGCATCACTCTGTTCCATCTATACCTTGTGACTTATAGCCACTGATGGACCTCTGCTCCATATGTTTCTCCAGTCCCCTCTTGAAGCTGCCCACCCCTGTAGCTGCCACCACTTCCTGCGGCAGTGAATTCCAAGTGTTAATGACTCTTTGGGTGAAGAATCCCTTCCTTTTATGTGTTCTAAGCCCACTTCTCATTAATTTCATGGAGTGCCCACGAGTTCTTGTATTGTGAGAATGGGAGAAAAGTATTTCTTTCCCTGCCTTCTCTATCCCAGGCATAATTTGCTAAACCTTTATCGTGTCACCCCTGTCCTGGTGCCTTCTGCAAGATGTTCTAGAACCCTCTGTGTGCTGATGTGCAGGCTGGCCTCTGATGCACATTGTTTCCCCCATTCATGTCAGTGGAGGTCTTGCTGAGGCAGTAGTTAGGGTTGCGAACCTCCAGGCGGTAGCTGGAGATCTCCTGCTGTTACAGTTGATTTTCAGGTAACCGCAATCAGTTCCCCTGGAGAAAATGACTGCTTTGTAAGGTGGACTCTCTGGCATTATATCCTGCCGAGGCCCCTCCCCTCCTCAAACCCCACCCTCCTCAAGCTCCAGCCCCCAAAATCTCCAGGTCTCTCCCAGCCTTAAGCTGGGAACCCTAAGCGATGATGGCATCTTCTGCATTTACCCGCCTCCATCCAGGGCCCTGCGTGTGTTCCGGAAAACGTGCCGGGTGTGCCTTGGAGTCCCCAAAGCCCTTTTAAAAATTGCTGATTCAGACAAGAACTCTGTCTCCTGTATATTTGCAAACAGGTCTGCACAAAACCTGAGGGCTATAAACCCGTGTTTATTGATTTTATAGAACTGAGATTTTTATCTGTGGAGAGATTCTGTGTCAGGTACGAGATTCTACACACAGGGCTTTGAGCCGTCCAGCAGCTCTCGTTCTAGATGTTCTCAGAGTTAGATTCACATTGCTGCTCTTCATGCACAGATTAACCACTGTTTGTGAGGCATTCTTAATGTGCAGTGTGAGGCACCCAGAGAATGTGGTCTTTCCTTTAACCTGTGTAAAGTATTCAGATGCAGTCTTCTTTCCCTTTTTCCACCCCACAGATGAATTTTTCCATCACCCTTTCTTGGATGCAAGTGCCTCTATGAAAAAATGTAAGTTAATTCCTTTTGGTCTCTTACTCGTAAAGTTTACACGCATGATGCAATCCCTAGCAAACGGCGTTTGTGTTCTGTAAGCAGAGAGGCAAGGGCTGGGCTACACCTGGAAATCCCCTTCAGGGCAGACTGAAGTGCCGGAAGGAAGAGTGGGACTCGCAGACCATCAGAGATCCACGTGTCCTCTGTGCAGGAGGACTACATTGTTTGGGGCTCAAAGCCAGCTCTTGAGTTTTGCATCTGGTTGTCCGGAAGGTCCCATTTGGGGATTCTTCTCGTGCCGGAGTGTCTTGTCCTAATCTGCGTTCCAGTTTTTACTTTTTTAGGAGGGCCCAGGCTGGCCCGATCTTGTTGGATCTCAGAAGCTAAGGAGGGGCAACCCTGGTTGGTGCTCGGATGGGAGACCACCGGGCAAGTCCAGGGCCTTGAAGCAGAGGCAGGCAGTGACAAACCACCTCTGTTTAACATAAGAACATAAGAGACGCCAATGTTGGATCAGGCCAAAGGCCCATCCAGCCCAACACTTTGTATCACACAGTGGCCAGAAATACCAGGTGCCATCAGGCGGTCCAGCAGTGGGGCCAGGACATTAGAAGCCCTCCCCCTGTTGACCCCCCCCCCAAGCACCAAGATGACAGAGCATCACTTGCCCCAGAGCCCCTATCTATACCTTGTGGCTAATAGCCACTGATGGACCTCTGCTCCATATGCCTATCTAATTCCCTTTTGAAGCCGTCCATGCTTGTAGCCGCCACCACTTCCTGTGGTAGTGAATTCCATGTGTTAATCACTCTTTGGGTGAATTCCAAGTGTTAATCACTCTTTGTCGTGTTTGTCTCTTGCCTTGAAATCCCTACGGAGTCGGCATAAGTCGTCTGTGACTCGGTGGCCTTTTCCATCAGCAGTCAGGTTAGGAGTAGATTGCCTGTTTCTGGGGGGTTGCCAGGTCCATCGGACTAGCTGGCAGGGGATGGGGGGGGGGAACTTACCGGGAGTGGGGAGGGAAGAAGCCGGAAATAAACACCTTGTGCCGACCTCACCTGGAAGTGATGTGGGGACGTCGGGGGCAACATGCCTGTGTCACCCGGAAGTGATGTAGGCACATCAGTGACATCGGGGGGTGACGTTGTGGTTTTTGGGCAAAACTCTATGGTAGACTTCAGCTTCTGTCATAGAGTTGTGACCGAAACCAGAGCATCGACCCCTGATATCACCGTCACGCCTACGTCACTTCCAGGTGAGGTAGGCATGGCATGTTTATTTTTGGCTGTTGGGGGGGGGGGAATTCCTCCCGTTTCCTGGTAGCCCTGAAGCAGGAGGAGGGGCTCCAAACCGTGGGATCCCCCGCCCCTCACCTGGGGACTGGCAACTGTAATGCTGCCATTTTGTGGAAGAGAGAACATATTCTTATTTTTGTACTTGTGGTCAGGTTCTCTTGGACAAGGTGTGTTCCAAATTCTGGCTCTCTAAATCAAGGGGAGGTACCCCTTTTAAGGCAAGACTAGCTCTAATAGGCTTCCAGTATGAGAGGGGGAATTGCAGTTGAACCGTAGGAGAAACTTGCTAATGGTAAGAGCTTTCATCAGGGAAGCCGACTACTGGGGTGGGGGAAGGGCACACCTTTCCTTATGATCGTCAAGCAGAGTTTAGATATCCATTTGTCGTGTTCGGATTTCCTGTACTGAGCAGGGGTAGGTCTAGATGCCCTTACAGGGGTCCCCAACATGGTGCCCGTGGGTGATAGGGCGCCCGCCCACACCTTTCCCGTCACCCGCCAAGTATTTTTAGAAAGTGGGCAGGGCCAAGTTGGCGCTTTTGCCCAGCAAGGCGCTTCTTACTGGCCATTGGAGACTTAATTGGCTGGGCAGATATGTTTATTTGCTTGAAAATCAGCTGCCATGGCAGCGCAAGGATCTTGACCATGTGGCTGGAGGTAAGCTGCAGCAGCCCTTTCTGTGGCTGGCTCTGTGGCAGCCGTTTTGTGGCTGCGCCCACCACGCTGTGCCGGAATCCCAAATGTGCCCATGGGGTCAAAAAAGGTTGGGGACCCCTGCCCTGTTAGGTTGCCTTCCGACTTTAAGACACTCTGACCCCAGCAGTTGTGATAGCCGGTGAGTCTTAAGCGAAGCCAATTGTTCTGCAGCGCACCCCATTCGACAGTGTTAAGAAACCCGGCTCTTTTGGGTCACAGAGCAGAAACGCGCCAATCAATACCCTGCGGCTGATTTTGCAGCGGCAACCACGAAGGAATATTTTGGCACTCGTGACAGTTGTATCAATTCTTGTGCTTTTTTGATGGCATTGTTAGCATAACCTTTATTTATGGCTCATCTAGATTTAATCTTTTGTACTGTCCATTTCTTAAAGAAATGGTGGCGGCGGGGGGGGGTATCTTTTTTTTGCCTGGAGTAAATATACACTGAGTGAAAACCCATTCACTGGAGAGGGCCATGAACAGCTAGGAATTTTGTAAAGTTGGGGACAGATGGTGGAGTTGCCAGCTCCTGGTTGGGAAATTCCTGGAGATTTGAGGGTGGGTGGAGCTTGGGGAAAGTGGGGTTTGGGCAGGGGAGGGGCCTCGGCAGGGTGTAATGCCACAGCCAACCCTCTGAGGTTGTCCACTTTCTCCAGGGGAACTGATCTCTATAGTCTGGAGGTCAGTTGTAATTCTGGGAGTTCTCAAGGCCCTACCTGGAGGTTATACAAAAACTGAGGGTCGCAGTGTTAGGAAGATATGCTAGGAAGATATGCAAAAGTATATAGCACTGTGTATAACAGATGTATGTTCAAGGTAAATCAATTTTGTGCTTTTTAATTTTTATTTTTCTATACTGTTATATAAATATTGGTATCAAATATTATCAAAAATAGGTTTCCCTTTGGTGTAGTGGTTAAGTGTGCGGACTCTAATCTGGGAGAACCACGTTCGATTCCCCACTCCTCCACTTGCACCTGCTGATGTGACCTTGGGTCAGTCACAAGCTCTGTCAGGGCTGTCCTTGAAAAAGAGCAGTTTGTGTCAGAGTTCTCTCAGCCCCACCCACCTCACAGGGTGTCTGTTGCGGGGAGGGGAAGGGAAAGGAGTTTGTAAGCCACTCTGAGACTCCAAGTGAAGGGCAGGGTATAATTCCAATCTCCTCCTCCTCTTCTTCAAAGTGCAGGTTTACATTCTGTACAAATATTCAGACAGCACCTTGTCAGTATCACAATCACTAGTTCCATGGGACTCTAGTAATTTACCGATTTCAAATAAAATCTTTTTCAAGGACTGTGATGTATATGAAGGACATAATAAGGCACAATAATTTCTCTTTGTGAGCACAGAAACTCTCAAGGCAGGAGCCTATTTTCTAGGGTCCCATCGGAACCCTTGTGGCAGACATAATAACCTATCTAGGATGCCATGTCCCTCAAGTTCTATCAGGTAGCCGATACCTGATTGCATTCAAAACGGGTAAATTACTAGAATCCCATGGGACTAGTGAATGTGATAATGACAAGGTGCTGAATATTTGTACAGAATGTAAACCTGCACTTTGATGTTTTGTTTGGGTGAAACCTATTTTTGATAATATCTGATACCAATATTTATACAACAGTATAGAAAAATAAAAATAAAAAAGCACAGCATTGATTTACCTTGAACATACATCTGTTATACACAGTACTACATACTTTTGCATACCTACCTGGAGGTTGGCAACCCTACCGTGAAGCTGTTTTCAAATTGAAAAAATCCATAGCAAGTAAAGCCACATGCAAATGACAGAGACCAGTTTCCTTGTCACCGTAGCCAGTGTCTCACGATAGTCTGAATGTGTGAAACTGCCACCACTCATATCTAACGATCGTATCTGTATCACTCATCAGTGTCTTATCCAGCTTGTCAGTTTCCAAACAACAGGCCGTGCTTCGGGAACACAATAAAACTTCCACTTGTTTTACTTAAGACAAGCTTATATCGCACCCTTCAGGTGGTCTAACATTAGACACCTCCCGGGCAGATTTAGGATTTTGGCCTCCGTTGTTGCTTCAAAGCAGGAGTTGGCGGCTTCACCTCTTGATCAACATTTTAAATTCAACTCCCCCTTACCTGTACTTAGGTGACCCACCCGCGGGCAGGAAAATGTTCTCCTGGTTTAGGGCTGCCTCCAAGCCATCCCACCCATCATCTTCAGCTACAGCATTGCCTTCACGACTCCCAAGTCAGGGGCACGGGAGAAGACGGAAAGGCTTCTGCCGGCTTAAGGATGCGCACAAAGCGGCACAAACTCCTGCCCCGGCGGCCGTGCCGTTTTGGAAACGGGTTTCTTCAAAGTCAGAGCCACTCGCCAGCCAGGCTGGGTCATCTGAGCCCTGGCCTTCTTACCGGACAGCCCAGCAGCCACCGCCAACGACCCTCCCATCTGCGCCAGCGTTATGGAAACCGTGCTCCACCCAGCAAACCACCCAGCAAAAGCAAGAGAGGATTTTCTTGACTTGGCCTCCGTTCCCTTCGTTGCCAGCATCCTCAGGGCCACTGCCTGGGGCAACTCCACCGAAACCATGCGATCGAGGAAGACAAAGAAGGGTTCCCCTCATTCTCCCATCAACTCCAGCCACGTCTGCCCTACTGCCTTGGGACGCTGGACCTGCAGAACGCCTATGTCCACTGGCCTTAACAAAACCGCTTGCCAGTCCACGGAGGTCCTATGTCTGGGTGTGAATCGTTGTGTGCAGCTCATGAAGCTTCTCAAGTGGAAAAAAAGGAAGTACTGTCTGAACGTGGACAATGAGACACTTCCTGTTTTCATCCATTGGACCTACATGTGGGAGACACTGTGTGTGGTCCTGAGGTCCATCCTGCAACATCAACTTCAGCACCCAAAGGTCTTGGGTCTGGTTCTCACAGAAAGACCATAAGAATGGGCAGTCACTTGGCAAGCCAAGGACACAGCTCACTATGAACATCTAGTGGAGTTTTTCTTACCGTAACACTAGCGAGAGGCCCCACAAGA